TTTTTTTTTTTTTTTTTTTTTTTTTTTTTTTTTTTTTTTTTTTTTTTTTTTTGGTACCGAGAATTGATCTTAGGGGCCTTGAGCTTGCCAGGCAGGTGCTGTGCTGCTGAGCTGCATTCTGGCCCTGACCAGCTTCTTTTTAACTGTAGCTTGCTGCTGAGTTTGCTTTTAGCCACCTTGGCTTCTGCCCTAGCCCTGTGTTTGCTTATGGGTTCCTATCTTACAACTAATTGGATCAGTTTTTATCACATTTGAACTCATAAAATTAATTTCTGTGAACATTCATTATATAACAGTTGTTGCCATGGTCGACATAGAGAGGATTTCCATGGTACAGATGTACAAGATATCTGTCTCTAGTGGCAAATTAAGTGATTAAAAGCATTTTTTAATGTGATGAATGTTTTTAAAAACTCTCCTCCTCTTTATTTTAATGTAATATTTGATATATTCAAAATACATGTAACATATGCAAGCTATGAAGCAAAACACAGGGAACACCTATGAAATGACGAACAAGAATCAAAATAACCAATATTGAATGTGCTCACCTAAGATGATTATCCTGAATTGTATGTTATTACTTGCATTTAAAAAATAATTTTATCAGATTTGTATACATTTTTCAACAATGTATTATATGGTTTCTGTGTTTCTGCATAAAAAAATCATTCTGGGTATGGTCTTTTGGGACTTGCTTATTTAACTCATTGTATTTCTGTCACTAACGTTGAGTACAGATGTAAGCCATTAATTAACTGCTGTGCATTATGAGGGGTGACTAAACAATTAGTGCATTTTCCTGTTAGTGGGCATTTGGGGATTGTTTCTAGATTTTTAAATTTTGAAGATTCTTGTACATATTTTCTGGTACAGAATTCTAAGAATTTCTCTAGTTTTCATCCTGGTGTATATGACTCTAACGAAATAAAGATTTTCTAAGGAGTATCTGGGTACAGGCAACATTATGAATGAATTTCTAGATCATTAAATTTTATGTTCTCTTTCCTAAAATTGATAATGCCTAAAGCCTGTGCTAGAGGCCTCCTGAAAATTCAGTTTTCCCACCTTCACTTTACAGTAGCACTTTATATAACAGAGGCAAATAGCACACCCATGTGGAAAAATCTGGAAAACAAAAAGGATAATTTAAAATACAGTATATAGTGTTGCGAAAAGCCTCTTTTAATCCATGTACCTTCTCTTCCATTTCTTTAAGAAATGCATTTCCAATAAATTTTCACTTTTCTGTTTTTCAGTTATTTTTGGTCAATTGTGTGCTAATTATACTTTTAAGAGAATCACCAGTTTTACTTTGAAAGTCACAATACTCTAGAAATTCATCTCTTGCAATTATTTAAATTTAATGCAGAAAAATTTTAGAAAGCATAACATGTGACAGGTATATAATTTTCAAAAACAATTTTGGTGGTTTGTGAACAACAAGCCAATTGCTTGAAGTGGAATTTCTGGGTCAAGCAGCACGAATGTGCAACTTCATGGAATAATTCCAGAGTTTTTTTTTTGAAGTGGTTCTACTAGCTTACACTTAGGCCAGTAATTTTTGTCTGTTTATATATTTTGCCCAGTGGAGTATAAGAGTTAGAGTTATCTGTAACCTGTCTAGCTTTGTTATATTAATTCATATTTGCCAGTGGAATGTTTATGGAAAGATGCATTATTTGGTTTTAATTTGAATTTCTTTAGTTATTAATGAGATTGGACATCTTTCCATATATTTATAAACCATCTGTATCTCCATAATATGAAATACCTGGTCATATCTTATCTGTTTTTTTCTGTGGAGTTGCAAAACTGATAAATTGGTGTGCTGATCTTTTATATGCCTGTCTTTTCGCTCTTTATGATGTATTTTGGTGAACAGAAAGTTTTAATTTGAATGTAACCTAACTGAAATCTTGCTCTGGGCTTATAAAGACACTCTCCTGTGTTTCTTTTTAGAAGTTTTTAAATGCTTTTCAGTTTTAAATTCAGAGTTCAAAAAATTCATAGTCCATCCATAATTTATTTTGTGTGTGATGTGATCACATTCGTTTTATCCCCCCATGTGGTCCGTGCCCCCTGTACTATATATCACATCAACCCTCAATTCCCCAGTGATCTCCTTATCATCTCTTGCTTGCTTCGTTTCTGTGTGCGTGGGTCTGTTTTTGGCTCTCCTTTCTGTATCACTTGCCATCTTCTCTATTTCTGTGTTGTTGCCCATACTGTCTTAATTATTAATGCTCTAGTTTTACCAGAAATCTTGATCTCTGGGGAGGACTTGAGTCTAGCTGTTCTTGGACCTTTGCTCTTTAAGAATCAGCTTTGTTTCATGACGTGAAAAACCCTCTGGGACTTAATTGGAACTGACTGAATCGGTTTTGGGGAGAATTGAAATCTTTTAAGATTTTGAGCCCTCCTGTCTGAGAAGATGGTATGTATTTCCACTTATTTAGGTTTTTAATATCTTTTCAGTATAGTGTTTTAATTTTCTCCAGAGAAATTGTCTACTTTTTAAGTGTTGATGCCAATGTTTTTAATTGTTGCTATTATAAATGGCAGTATGATTGTTTTCTGACAATTG